CAGTTCAGAATCAGCACCACCAGCACCACCAGCGCCGGCAGCGGAACCAGCACTCCCATCATCATCTTCTTCTTCATCCTCTTCCTCCCCCTCCTCCTCATGAACACCATGATCCTCATCATCCTCATCATCGACATGATCGTCATCATCATCGTCATCATTGTCATCATCATCGTCGTCATCCCCATCCTTGTCATCATCATCAGCATCATCACCCGTTGAAAACAAGCATCAGGGGCAATTTTCGTATGAGTAGATGGGAGATTACGGATAGTGATAGAACGTGGGTGCTGTCATTGGCGAGTTACCTCTGGATAGATGGGTTTTGCAGTATGGGTCATGCCAGTTCTTTGTCCAGGTGAGATTCCTTTATGGATCCCCAGGTTGGGTCATTCAGACTTCTTGGGTTTTCCTTGACTGAAGTTTGAAGGACGGTCCTTGCCAGAGGCAGTACAAGCAATGCCTTGGCATGCATGGTGCCTTTCCATGCGTATGGACCTCATGAAATTCTGTCGCATCATGCACTGCAAGCTTAGACATCCCGAGACAGGTGGCATTCAACCCGATGCATGAACTTAGCAGTGTTGTGAATACTCACGGATGACCAACTTTAGGTATAGTACTATCTTTCCTTCACAGATACAAAATATCTGCTTCCTTCCGGCAGACCGACGAAGGACTCCTTTGAGCCCGCAGCGGAACCGGCGCCGGCGCCCTCGGAGCCGGTGGAGATGCCACCCGCACCGGAGGAGGGGCTCTTGGGGAGTGGGTTTAGGGCCTTTAGGGTTTAGGGTCCCAGCTCATTTTTTTGGGGCGGGTCTTGCTGTAGGGTTTTCAGGGCACTAGGGATTGAGGTTCTGAGGCTTTCAGAGTTTGGGGCAGTGTAGGGTTCATGTATGGTTCAGGGATTCAAGGTTTAGGGACTGCGGCTGCTGCTACTGTTTCAGCTTTGGCATACTTCCACACTACGAATGCCATGATTGCGAAAGTGTTATCAATGTTATTGTGCAGTTACTTCGCTGCTGCTACTGGCAGTAGTTGTTTTGCAGATATTCGAATTTTCTGAGCACCCCCTACGATAGGATGAGGACTGAGGAGGTCGTGCGTCTGGCAGAGTGGCCCAATTAGCAAGAGTTGGGAGCTGCAATTTCGCAGGCTTTTCTGCAAGGCAGTACAGAGGCTGCAGTGATTGGTAATAACGCTTCTTCAGGCACCCTATACCTCACAACCCTATTCTACCATGAAGACACCGATGTTAGCTGCGAAATAAAGTACTATAGCTAGCTTCGAGTTGCAGGCCCAGCAAAAAGCAAAGAATTTGATGGCCCAAAGGGTGCTATTCTTTGTCGACTACGACCCATAGTTGCCAGCAGCAAAGCACTTTCATTTGCGGCGGCCACTTCTTGTACTTGGAGAGTCCTGAAATCCCGGGTCTGGGGTTCCGGGCTTGCACGACGTTTTGCCATGAGGGAATGAACCGCCAACTCTGCAAAGTAAGCGCAGCAGGTGGCCCCCGCCGTCCCCGAAGCCCAAGAGGGCGACGCCGTTCCCGCAGCTCAGGAGGACGACCCAGAGTCAGGTTGGTTAGTGGCTGGAGTAGTTCTACGGATTCGATCGCACATTGCAGCAGCAAGAAGACTTGCAGATCTCGCGCCCCAGAACTCTGAGTTGCAGCCATGCAGGAGCCGGCAGCGGCCCCGGCGTCCCCGACGAATGAGGAGGTCGGAGACTGTGCAGGGCGAACGCCCTAAATTCACACACGCCCCCAGACCGACAGACAGCCGTATAGGCGTAGACCTACTGTTAGGTTTAACTTCGAAGTGCTTGCACTTTGAGCGCCCGGGAGCCAGGGCGAGAAAAAGAAGAAAGGACCCAAGAAGTCCACGACAGCCAGATTCTCAGAAGCTCCGGCATGAGGGCTTAGAGCCGGTGCAGCTCGGGTTTGTAGATGTCCAGCAACTAGAGTTAAGGAAGGTAGCCTGAGGATTGTTCTACCGACGTATTGAAGTCCCGGATGCCTTCGGACTGAATCCAGACAGCACTAAGCCTGAACACTTAGCTGATCAAAGCCGGCCTTGCGGAAGAGGGGTCGGTCTACTAGTCTGAATAGGACTTGGGCTCTGCGGTGCACTGTAGCCTCTTCAATCCATCAGCGTGATGTGAATAGGCTTCGAGAAGAGATCTGTTCTCTCTGCGATGCAAGACAAAGAAGTGTGCTCGCACGAGGGTAGCTGGACGGAACCTACCCTCAGACCGAAGCCGCCGGAAGAGCCCCCAAACACTAATTTCGACGACGGCACGCAAAGTGATCGAAGTTTCTCTGGTAAGCCCTATGCCAGTACGGTCTTTCTGCTTTGCGAGTAGGAAAAGCTACACAGCTTTGAAGCCTCCCTTGCAAGTGGGCCTAGCCCGAGGATGCAGCGAGCAAGAAAGCTGCGGCCAAGAAGAAGCCGGATTCGAAGGAGATGCTTCTGGGAGGTCTAGGCTTGAAGGGTTCCATGGTTGTAATCCCGTACTTTGAAGATACGAGTATATTGAAGCTGTGATACACTTGCATTTGCCCATGGCTAGGCTTGCATGCTTGCTGGTCTCATGTCAGATAGGACAGTTGTTAAATCAGCAGAGTCGCGTTTCATATATGTATGCAGATCGTCGTTCCGGCGCCGAGTATGTAGGTATCTGTATATTTGTACATGTATATATTACCCTCAACCCTGAACCCTAAACCCTAAACCCCCGAACCCTAAACCGTAAACTCGAAACCCGAAACCCTGACGATAGCGCGCGGAGCTGAACGAAGCGATGTGTGTCAAGACGTGGTGGCTCGAATGCTAGCCCGATTAGTTTCTGAGGCCCTTTCCTTCTTTGTAGAGGGGACCCGAACTAATCTTTGGGGTCTTAGGTGTCCCCTGCACTGCGCTCAGCTTGACCTGCCGGCTTTAGGCCTAACCTTCCTTTTAGGCTGTCTGTCAGGAGCTTTCGCGTGCATCTGGCTCCTTGAGCCTGGGTTATTGGCTGCTAGGGCCAGGCCTTCGAGAGGTTTTCCTGAAGATACTAGTCGCCAGCCAGCGCCTAGGGCTTCAACTTCTGGGGCCAGTCGTCGCCCTCACCCTCGTTTGGAAGGGTACTTGCATGAGTGAGGAAGAGCTAAGCATTGCCTTCGGTGATTTGACAATCTCCGTTCGCCGTGCCAGGCCCCGTCACCGCGGCTCTTCGCCCGCTACCGCCTCGCCTGCCAGGGCTCCCTCGCCTGCAGATTCCTTTGAGCTAGTTAGCGGTTCTAGTGCCTCTGAGGATAGGGTTTCTTTAGGCCCTAGGGTTTCCCAGCCTGCCGCCTCAGCTTCCATTACTCCTGCAGTTCCTTGCGAAGTGCCACCTGCAAGAGGTTCTGCCCCTCCTGTGCGTTCATTGCTGGCCTCCGGGCCCCGGACTCCTTCTCGAGTCTTGCCTTCTTCGTGTGGTGCATTGGTGTGTGGCTCCAGCCCTGGAGCCGGCCGAGGCTCGCCCCCTCCGGCCTCCCTTTCGAATCCCGAGCAGCCTGCCTTATCCTCTCCTTCCCGAGTGCCTGAGTACCCCTTGCTGGCCGCAGGGCCTGAAGGTTATTCGCCCGGGGCTCTCCCTCTGCCTCTTCATCTGCGAGATTTGTGTCGGCACCTGCGAGGTGGCGTTCTGGCCAGCGCTCAAAGGGCCGAAAGAGCCTGGAGAGCTGGCCTTTGGGCTGCTGAAGTTCTTTCTGGACGCGCTCGGTGCCCCCAGTCGTCGCCCGCCACCGGGCTCCAAAACCGCTACTACGCAGTACTTCGTGCTGAGGCTCCTGGCTTCACTGGTCCTGTTGTGGTTCGCAGCTTCTCCGCTGGTCGGCCGGCTGCCCGGGGCACTTCGGTCTCCCACGCCTTCCCGAGTGAAAGTGAAGCCCGTGTTTTCTTTGCAGGTGCTGACCTTGCATACCCGTCGAGGTGATGGATTTCTCCCGGCTGGTGGCAGCCGAGACTGGGCAGGTGGAGCTACTCGAATTCTCCTGGCCCCCTCCCGGAGTGGAGCACGAGACTCAGGTTTGTATAGCCTATGTGGCCATGAAGCGAGAGCATGGTTTCCTCCTTTGCCTGCCTTTGGACTTTCTTTCAGAGGAGGAGACAGAGCGAGGCCAGCAAAATCAGGATTCGGAGGGGCTTGGCCCATCGTCTGTGGTGCACGTTGCAGCGGTGTCCCTTTCGGAAGCGGGCGAGTGGGTTGCTCCCGTTCCCCCCTCCACGGTTCAGGCCCTCGTTTTGGACTTGCCTTCCATATGTGCCGAAGCCCTCTCCCTCCCGAACCTGGCCGAGTTTACAGGAGCAGCTTTTGTGGAGGACGGCCCTGCTCTGTTCCCCCTTGCTGGCGAGGTCGTCCAGCAGGCTCGCGAGTGGCTAGCTTTGGGCATTGCCGAGCAGAGGTCTGGTTACCACACAGGTGTGTCCCAGGTGCCGTTGCCAGGCGCAGGTGCAAAGGCAAAGAGGCCAGCCGCAAAGAGGCGCACGGTTGCAACGCTAGCGGCCCAGCAGGCCACCCTGACAGACCTGATCACCGCCCTTTCGGCTCAGGTGGAGAACCTTTCCAAGCACCCGCCAGGTGTGCCTCCAAGCAGGTAGTCAAAAGGCCCAGGAGCAACACTGCAGGGAGAGCTGTGTGGTGGCTGCTGGGCTCCTCTGCCAACCAGGAAAAGGCCAAATCCCAAGCAGCCTGCACCTGTCTTCGCAGTACTGGCTTGATGGATGTTATGGCGTTCACGGTTTCCTCGAAGTGCCAATACGGCCTGCCAGACCCGTAGAGGTCCCGCCCGTACTCAACCAAGAGGTTCACAAAGGCCTCGACGTCGAAAGGTTTGACGGCAAGGGCCTCTCCCAGGGTGCACCCAGCGATCTCCAGGAGCCATTGCGAAAAAGCTACGGTCCTAGCGGCCCTGTTTCCAGAGGTGCGGGGGAGAACTTTACGACCCGTAGGGAGGCCTAGGGGGGACCTGCCGGCTAGACGGGCAGCATCGGCTGCGTTGCGCGGGTGAAGGAGTGGCATGCCAGAGACACGCGGACACAAACACAGCAGGCAGGCAAGCAGCACAAGGCAGTTCGCAAAAGGCCCTTCTCCTGGGAAGCCGAGGGTCTGGTCGTAGGCCAGAGGGGTGTGCCCTCCTCGGCGGCTGCAGCAGGCACCTCCAAAACGGGAGTCCAAAGAAAAGGTCCGAAGAGCCTGGATCAGCCGGGTTCGTTCTGAGGGCCCGGGGGCAAGAAGCAGGGTGAGCCTAACCCAACTAGACCTAACCCTAGAAAGACCCCCAAAGGAAAAGACAGCATCGGTTGCGGCGGTGTCAAGGTCTTGCAGGACACTCAAAGGAGAGGGCTCTGCGAGTTCCGTGTCTCGGGTCGGAGCGTCTGAAGCGTTGAGCCTCGTAGGGGCGAAGTGGAAGGCAGGGTAGAGGGCAGCAGCGATCTGAAGCGCGGCAGCTCGGCGCAGCGAATGCCGAAGCAATCTAGCAGCAGACCTCCCTTTCACCAACGCTCCTTTTGCAGCAGTGGAGTCAACAAGCAAAGCAAAGCGACGATCCCCACCTCGAAGAGCGAGGGTCCTAAGCACGTTGACAGCAGCATCGGTCTCGAGCCGATTGATGTGCTTTTGCTTCTTCCAGGACCAGCTCCTACTGACTACCCACGGGCTGTGCAGGAGAATGTCGTTGACCCCGACGTTCTCAAGGCCCTCGCGGGGTGTGTCAGAAGAAGGCGCAGAGGAGAGGGCCTGCAGGAACACTTCAGCCAGAGCAACAGCGAGCTTCGGGGTGTAGACGGCACTGGCCTTGGCGAGGGGCCCTTGCACGGGAAGGTGACGTGTCCCTCTAGGGCAGGTGCAGCGAGTCTGAAGGGACCCTACCTCTAAAAAGCAGCCGAAGAACCGAAACCGCTTAAGGTGGGGAGAGCCGAAAGAGCACGACGCACACGAGGCCGAGACGGCGCCAGGCAGGTCCAAAAAGGCCTTGAAGGGGGGCAACCAAAGCATCTTGCTGAGGAGCGGCTGCTCAAGCAACGCAGGAACCCGGTAGCAGTAGCATGACCTGAGAATGAGCATGGCGACGCAGGCGGTCTTGTTCCCGCGAAAGGTCTTGGGATCTCTGAGGTCAAATCCCCAGGGCACAGAGTGGGAGCGTACCGAAGGCCAAGAAGCAACCGAGAAGGTAGTGCAGGGAGGCGACAAGAAAACAGATCGCACCCTCCCGTGCTGCACAAGGTAAAGAATCCACTCGAGGGCTCGGGGCGAGGCGAGGTCGAACTGGCGGGAGACCGAAAGGTCAAGTACAAGGCTGTTGCTCCGGCCTCGCTCGCGCAGAGCCGCGCTGACCGGGCGGCTTCCTCCAAAGACCTCGAGAAAGTCGTAGTGCATAGCGAGGGGCTTGCTAAGGCTGGCTTTAGTAGGCTCCTCTATCCAGGCAGGGCGAGGAGAAGGATCGGCAAGCACTTGAGCACTAGCTTCGGCGGCAGCGTGTGCAGGAGCGAGGGGCTCCGAGTGCCCTCTCTTGTCGGCAGAACGCCAAAGTGCGGAGGAAATGCGCTCGCCAACAGGGGCCTCGCAGAAGGCGCCCTTAGAAAGCGAAGAGTCGGAGCAGAAAACGGACTCTTCAAAAGGCGTGGTCACGTCAGAACACATCACAGGGATGAGAGCCGCAAGGAGGGCGAGATCGCCCGCGGCCTTCCTGGGCAAAGAAACTACTTCGGAAAACTGTCCGGAAGGGGCAGTGGGGGCCCTCTTCCCAAAAGCAAAGAACGTGTCAAAACAGGACATCAGACATCGGCGGTAGAGCACCGTTGACACCCAACAGCCGGCGAGCCCCGAAGCGAGGTCCCGAGCAATGCTAGGCAGCCTAGCCTGGCCGCTTGCAGAGAGACAAAAACAAGGGAGAGGCGCTTCTCAATCGGAGCGGATACAAGAATGTGTCCGTCTGCCACAGTAGCAAGACTTGAGTCCACAGAGGCGCCGGCAACCTTAAAAGTCAGGGCGCCCACAACGTCCTTGTGGTCAGAGCCCTTAAGCTCGTGCTTGCGGTAGGCGGCCTTGGCTTGCAGGACCTTTCTAGCAGAGTCGGTCTGCAGGAGAGCGTCGGAAGGCGCAGTGTCGGGAGGAACTTCAGCAAGGCTGGCAGTAGAAATCGAAAAGAAATCGTCAATCACTACGGCCTCCCAAGGGCCGTCAGGCGTCTCTCGCCATTCAAGAGCCCCTGATCCTCTAACAACTGCTCATGTGCCTGTGTCGCGAATTCCACTCCGAGGTGATCGCCCTGAAACAGCGAAGCTCACGACCCAAAAACGCGAGTGTCGTCAGCCAGGATGGTTCGGGGGCCGCTGGCGCGTCCGAGCTCATCACCACGCACCTCCCGTGAAGCTGCTCTGCGGGAGGCGAGGTCGGCAAGCAGCGAGGCGTAGGCTCGGGTGCTCGCTAGGTCCCTCAGGGAGAAAGGAGGGCCTACACTGTTTGTTCTTGTTCTTTCCCTGCTGGTCATGATCTGATGGTAGAAATCGGACCTGTCTGTCGACGATCCTACCAACACCTGACAGCCTCTTTTTGCAGAAAGCTCGACCAGCATCTGGCCTGGAGGCAATGAGAGGCTCGGGCCGGGTACTCGACCCTCTCTAGCGAATTGGGTCCGCGACGATCTCCAATCATGCGGTCGTTCTCTGGGCTCTTAAAGGCGGCAAAAACTCGGCACAGCTCTCGGGGAGCAAAGGGCCCAGGCTGCAGGCGAAGAAGACCCCTCGAGTCCCACAGCAGCATAAGCTCCTTCGTCCTCTCAGCGGGTTCGGAGAGAGCACGGGGGAAGGGAAGGCTGTTAGGAGGAATCGTCCGGAGCACAAGGGGCTCGACAAAAGGCATCCACAACTCAGGGCTAAGGAAAGGCTGAATGTCCCAGTGCCCTCGGCCGGAAATCAAAAGCCCGCTGGGCGACACATCTCTATAAAAATGGGAGCCGGGGGCCCGTCGACACAAGGTGCGGCGTGCCCTTCGAAGCGCGCTGCACCAGGGTAAGCAGAAGGAACGAAGCCCGCGCGACCAAGAAAATCGCGGAGCGAGGCGAGGTGAGAAACCAAATGCACACCACGCCGACCGGCACACAGAGGAAGATCCTCAGGGCATCGGAAACTCGCCCTAAGCAGTGACCTGAGGCGGCCGGTCATGTCCAGCTGCGCCTGGTTAGGCTGCCTCCGAAGACTCTCCAAAGGAACAGGTTTCCCGTCAGAATGCAAGAAGTTCAAACGGCCCGCAAGGCAGCAGTAGGATTGCGACGGGAAGAGAGCAACGGGACTCCCGGGCCAAAGCATCCAGGGCAAGGCGCCGGCAGGGGGAAAAGGGCGGTAGGAGGAGCACTTTCAGCTCCTTGGCGAATCTTGAACGTTGGCAAAAGAAAACGTGCAAAAGCGGTCCGGCTGGCCAACACAAGGCGAGGGAGGCTAGCTGCCCATGGCCCATGACCAAAAGGTGATCTTTGCTGACGCGGCTCCTCGGGGAAACTTGGGCGTCCCGGGGCTGCGCAAGAGCGGCGGCGCAGCAGCAGAAAAACACTCAGGAGCCCCGTGGGGTCCTTCGGGAACAGGCTGCCTCCTAAGTCTTCGCCTTGGGGCAGCGCACGTGGCTTTGGCAAGAACACTGGTATTAGGCCGGCCGTGGCGCAAGGGCAAGGCAGGCTTGAGAGGAGCAGGGTCCGCAGAGCAGGAAAGTCCAAACACAGGGGCCAAGCGAGGCTCGGGAGCAGAGGGCCCAGGGGGGCTTTGGCAGCCAAAACCGCGAAAAAGCATTTTGTCACATGTTGGTAGAAGGTGGCAAAATGGCTTTTGGGGGCCAAAACCGCGAAAAAGCGTTTTGCCACATGTTGGTGGAAGGTGGCAAAATGGTTTTTGGGCGCCGCAACCATGAGCACCAGGAGGGGCGAGGCCCGGAGGGGCTCGAAAAGTCACTGGTTTGCACTCGCCTTGGCCCGGCTCTCGGCCCACTTCTTTGCTCTCAGTTGCTTTCTTGACAAAACTTCCTCGCTTGGGCCCTTTGGGTCTGCCTTCGGAGGAGTTGTCGTAGTTAAGGCTGGAGCGCGGGGCCTGGAGGGATTCACACCGCCTACCTCCAGCCTCTTTGTCGACAGCACGTCCAACTCCTTTACTTCTGCAAGGGCGATGGCCACCCACCTTTGCTCGGCCAGGTTTGCAAAGGGGCGCAATGGTTGTTCACGAAGAGGCCAGCTGGGGGCTCCGGTGGCAAGGAGAGAATCCATCCGAGCTCCGTCTTTCCCTGATCCAGGGTCCATTGCTCGATCATGACCATGGCCAAGGCGACTGTGTCGAGAGCTCGTTGGGGGGAGCCTGCGGAGGCTTGGTCCAGGGCCCTCGCAAGCGTCCACTGAAGCAGGCCGTATTCTCGGTGGCTCTGGTAGGCCTCGTAGCGCTCGAGGTAGCGGCAAAGGCTCAGCCCTTTGTCGACCGCCTTGCCGGGCTGAAGGTTCAGAGCCGAGGGGTCCATGCGCCGTGCAGCCGAGGACACCACGGCCCGAAAGAAAGCGCCGTCCTGCTGAGCCAAATCTGCCTGAAGCTCGACAGCCCTGCTGTAGCCCCCTGCTCGGTCAAAGTAGCCATTGGATCGTGGGAGAGAAACCAGGCTGGTCAGAGCACGGCTTTGCAGGAGCATCGCCTGGGCGAGGGCATCCGGCTGCCCCCCTCCGTGCAGAGGCAGGCGCGCCTGCGAAAGAACCAGGCGGGGGAGCGGTGGCCCCAACTAGTCCTTGTCTGCGGGGGCCCTCCGAGCTGCTGCGCGAGGCTCGCTTAGGCAAAGCGGGCTCCGGCTGATGATTCAGAAGAGCCGCCTCGGACAAAGGCATCTGCAGAGCTGTCGCCCCAAGCTTGGGAGGCGGAGGAGGCTGACTGGCCGCGGTCTGGGGATGGCTTCGCGAGGCCGGTGTTTTTGCCCTGGCCTGGGGTGGTATTCTGCGGATTGGCGAAGTGACTTCTGCACGGAGATCGGACCTTGTTTTGCCATCCGATGTTTTACACACCCAGGCCTTTGTTCTGCTGAAGCTGCGGGAACCAAAGACCAGGCTGCGGGCTGCCAGACACCAGTCGGCCAGGGTCGACAGGACCGACCTCATCGAGCTCATCTCCCTCGCTTTTAAGGATTTGGGGCCACAAGAGCGTTTGTGGCCAGGCTCAGGACAGACTTTGCGGCGGAGACTGGACGCAGCTCTTCGAGGCCTGAAGGTCCCAAAACAGGTTGGGGAGAACCGCCCCATCGACCTCGGATCTTTCAGACCTGGAGGCGCCACTTTCTTATTAATTTTCAGCGAGGACCCAGAGCTCGTGAGACGCAGAGGCCGTTGGCTTAGCTACAGGACCATGGAAATTTATCTGCAAGAGGTGACGGCGACAACCTACTTTGCGGAGCTTCCTTTTCCTACCAGGTCTCTGGTGGTGCAGGCCGCCAGAAATTTTCCTGAAGCCCTGCAGCAGGCTACTGCGTGGACGTCAGCATCAGTCCCACAGTCGGCGTGGTTCTTGCTCTTCAACCGAGGCCGGTGAGTCAGTGCTTGGTGCAAACAGGTCGGGATGGGAAGTTTTTTCCTCAGCTCGGCTTTTTCTACCTTCGGCTGCCGAAGACTTGCCGGCATGCCAGCAGCACCAAGTCGGGCCACCCAGGCGAAAAGAGCGTGAGTGTTGCGACAATCGCTGACGATAGCGTGCGGAGCTGAACGAAGCGATGTGTGTCAAGACGCCCGCCCGTGAAACCCTAAACCCTAAAGTATGTGTGCATGCACAAGGGGTACCCAGCCCCGAGCCAGGAGCCAAAAAAGTCCAAAGTCGGCGAGCCCACGGCCGAGCCGACTGCGGAGCCAACCGCAGAGGCCTGGCTTTCTCCCTTTTGGGTTTAGGGTTTAGGGCTTAGGGTTTAGGAGGGTTTAGAGCTTTGGGCTTAGGGTTTAGGACGGTTCAAGGCTTAGGGCTTAGGGTTTAGGGTTTAGGGCTTAGGGAAGTTTAGGGTTTAGGGTTTAGGGCTTAGGGTTTATATGAAGATCAAGGCATGAAGTACTGGCGTAGTTGGCGGTTCTTCTCTGCTGTCTTCCTCTTCCCCCCCCCCCCGTTCATGTCGTGGTGTAATGGCTTCAGCATCAGGCATTGCCCAACACGCCGAGGGGATGCCGTTCGAGCTTTGGCAGCCGCAAGACCAATACCTGAAATCGTTTTTCCCTTACTCCATCTTCGTGCTTCGAGGGGCGAAGTGGGCTGTCTTGCTAAGACTGCTCAGTGTCCGATGCCAAGCCAAGCCGCCCGGCTTCGGGAGCCGGGCCCATGGAGGTTCGGGCAGACCCGAAGCATTGAACTTCCGATGACGCATGCGGAGGCGCAGCGAAGGCGAAAGGAACCGTTTCCATGGGCGGGAGGTCGACGCTTGCTCACCCACTCGCTCACTCTCTTTGTCTTCCTCTTCCTTGTCTCCTTCTAGCTGCTGGTGTGATGTGATCTGGTGGATGCCTGTTCTCCTTGCCTTGTCGGAAAGGTCCTGAGCCCCAAGTTCTCCAAACCTAGAGCCCAACATCTTCAGCCGGATACCCCAAGCCCAAATTCCAAGCCTAGCGCGACATGACGAGAGACGTGACGTGCAGGGCCTGGTTGTTGCTATTGCAGGTTTCCTCGCCGCTAACTTCAGGAAGCCGGGTATTGCTAGGACCGATGAACTTCGCTTTCCGGCCTTAAGTGGAGCTGTCACATGTGGAGCCCTCATACATCAAAATGCTCAGACCCGTATGCCAATACTTGGGCTCCAGACTGCAGCGCTACAGACTCCTCAGCCCTCAATCCCTTAGATCCCGTGCACGGATGACTTTCAACTCCTTGTTGAACTTCGAAGGGCACCCAGCCCTGAATCTTTCCCATCCAAAGCCCAGAATCCCGAATTCTAAAGCCCAACGACTGCCGCCTTGTTTCGAGCGTTCGCAAAGGGCAGAAATTGACCCCGAGTTGTGATGCTCTTCGGGAGTTTGGTCCTCCCGGGCTGGGCCAAGGGCCTGGTAGATGTTCTGGTACAAACTGGGAGTATCCGAAAATTAGGGTACCTTAGGTTGGGGTCCTTATAGTAAGGATCCTACTATTTCGGGTACTATGTTAGGGTCCCCTATTTTCGGAAACCCCCAACTGCCGCCTTGCAAGGCCCCCCCTGCTGGGCCACCGGCGGAGGCCCCAGCAGAGCCACCTGCAGAATGAGGAGGCCCGATGCTCTGAAGTAATCCCGTCACTGGCTCAGCCGTCGTCGTTGTCGTCCCCCTCCCATTCCATTACCAACACTATTACTAATACTACTAGTGCCGCTAGTACCACTACCACTACTACTACTGCTACTCCTATTTGGCCTCATTTGACGCCATGTTTTTCCTCTTTTTTGGCTTGCACTACTTAGTTTGAGGGCCTGGATGTGTTGGTATTTACAGTATTTCCTTATTTCTACGGCTCTAGCTCCTTAAACACGTATCATGTGGACCCGGGCGCCTTAACGACCTTAAATACAGTCATAACAATAGCTCCACGCATATTTTCGTTCGTTCTCACGAGACGAATACACATACCACACATCCTCGCACGAAGCCCCTGATCTACTGGTATTTACAGTATTTGCCTGCTTTCGCTATGTACTCGTATGGCAAACATGATGCTGTTTACGATGACCTGCAGCAGGTATGCTTCTGTAAAAATCAGGCTTCTTCTTGAGGCAGTTTTGGCATAGCTTTTCTACTGTTTATGTGAGGACCTATCTTCTTCAAGTCGCAAGAGCAAATACCTCTACCTTTCCACTATCCCCTTCCTTTACCGTTATTTCCGAGCTTTTCCTGCTTTTGTGGCTGACGATGTTCGTGAGGATATGCCCGTTGATGATGAACGGCCGCAGTTGCTCTCTGTTTTTTTAGGGTGTGTTTTTGGGGAACCAGTTTCTTGAACCTTTTCAGCACGATTATGTTCTGTCAACTGTGGAATAGCAGCAACGGAAGACATCAGCTCTACTATGCATACACCCTACATAGAGACCATACTCTTTCTTGGGGTCCCTGCGTTTCGGGGTTTTGTTGCAAGCGGGAACATGCATACCGTACTGTTTCATCTTATCTTTCCCTTGAGGGCCTTGCCTGTTCCATGAGGGCCTTGCGTTCCATGAGGGCCTTGGAATAAATTTACAGTACTAATTATTGTCTTGGCGGCTTGGGGGGGGGGGCTTGGGGCTGGGGGGGGGGCTTGGCTGCAATAGGGTCGAATCTGTCACGTAGGTGAGAAAGGCTTCTCGGCAATACTTAACATGATTATTTTGCTT